CCCAACAATCTGGGTCCTCATTTTACCCACCTTGGAAGGATGGAAGGGCTGAGTCAACCTTGAGCCTGGGGAGATTTGAACTGCCAAATTGCAGGCAACGGGCAGTCAGCAGAAGTAGCCTGGAGTACTGCACTCTTAACTACCATGCACTACCATGGCTCATCAAGGGTAATCAACGACACAAAGAAAATAAAAAAGGATAATCAGTTTAGATTTTGTCAAACTTGAAAATCTACCAAACAATAAGGTATGGTTGAACAAACATGGTTGATCAGGCCAGGTGAGCCAAACAATAGAAAATCAGCTTGTTCACTACCAATTTCCTGCTTTGTATTAGACATTTTATTCTAAGGGGCAACCTAACTTTTGTTCTCTTCTGAGGGCAGTATCTCACCCATCTTACCACACTGAAAATGATTTTGATAGTAGACAATTGTGTCCTGAACATTTCTCTTTTCATCTTTCTTCTGAAGGTGCTTCTTCGAGTGAAGGAGAATGAACTCCAGTATCAGAAACAAGAAGTCCAGTGTCTGAGGGATGAACTCCATATGATGCAGAAGGTAGATTTCTAAAAGCAAATCAGAGTTCCTGGTTTGCAAGGAGAAGTGCGTAAGTGCATAGGCGCAAACCGATCACTCCATTCCCTCTAACAGTATGCAATGTTATCCAAACAACAGAAAATTAGAAAGCTAAAAAATTTAAAGGCATCAGATAGAAAAGGAAACCTAGCTAAAGCTGTTTTTCACCAAATCAAATTCTCTCTATTTCCCATAGCTTTCTGCCCTGGCAAATCACCTTTTCTTCCCTCATATCCATGCCTTGCTTTATATTCTGCCTTTTATTCTTTAAATTGTTAGGCTCTCTTTTTTGAGGATATTGTCAAATCTCTATAAATTCTCAGTCATTCTTTTCAACTTAATTCATTTTTGGGGGGTAATTTGATTCTCCTTGTTTATGATTGACTAATACATTTCTTTCATATTAGTCACTTACTTAATATTCAGCCCACATTCATTCTTAATTCACCTTGATCTCATTTTATCACATTACATTGCATTCAACTTTATATTTCTCTTGTGATATATTTAACATAAAAAAGTGGGCAAAAGCATGTTAAATATACAGCTATTGTTTTCTGATGAACATTCATTTCTTGCAATAGACCTACCTACTATTTTGCTAGAAGCGTTTGCACATCTTAAAAAAATTCTCTCCAGGTTCCCATCTTTAACTAATATTCTACAATACTGGTGTACAGATCATGTAGATGCCTTACTTTTTACCATTTATGTACTACTTGCAAACATTTAGTCCATTTTCCCTCTTATTTTCCCTATTATCTACAGCTACCTTTGTGTTAGATTGTGCATCACACAATCTAACATTCACCTCAAATCATTCAGCTTCTCAGCCAATCCTTTGCATATTTTGGTTCATGTCCAGTATTCTTCTAACACAGGGGTGTCAAACCTGCGACATCATGTTGTAGTAGTAGTAGTTGCGTTTATTTATAGGCCGCCCTTTTCCCTGAGGGGACTCAGGGCGGCTAACAACTTATGGGAGGGGAAGAC